AAGGCGACGGAAAGGAAGGAAAGAAAGGAGAAGGAAAGTCGCAGGAGAAAGGAGAAGGAAAGAAAGGTGAAGGCAAGAAAGGAGAAGGCAAAGAAGGAAAAAGAAGTGAAGGAAAGGAAGGAAAGACAAAAGGAGAGAGAGAGCAAGCGATTCAAGAGTACAACCAACAAAGGTCACAGAAAAGAAGCCAAGCCGACAGTGAGGACAGGTCACTCCAAGTGTTCAAGGATTGGTATGGCAATGTCATTCGCAGGTACGCCTACTTCGTCGAGCATGGCCACTCGTGGGAGTACGACAAGAAGGAAAAGAAGTATCGGTGGCTAGGAAAAGATCATCCTTACGGAGGAGGAAAGACAAAGAGCAAAGACAAAGAAGGAAAAGGAGGAAAGTCACAGGAAGAGGAAGAAGAAGAGACAGACAGCGACATGCCGCCTCTCGAGCCTATCCCAGGCAACGAACAAAATGATGGTGGAGAAGAAGAGGAAGATTCGGAGGAAGATGAGTATGACTCAGATGCTCATCTCTGGAATGATGGCAACAACTCAGGTTGGCAGCAACCTACCTGGCAGAGCGCAAGCTCAAGTTGGGAAGATCCTCAGTACCAGGAATGGTGCAATTACAACTCCCAGGACCAGTACCAGGACACAGAGGACTGGTGGAAGAACCACCAAGGCGGTGCAAAAGATGACCAAGACGGTGAAAGCTAAAAGTACTTTCACAGGCAGTATGTGAACAAGCTCCATGATTTCAGGAATTATGTCATGGCAACGTTTTCCAAGTACACACGTCACAAGCAGTACTACAGAGTTATTGTGTACAGGAAGTTGTGTATAGCCTCTTGCAAGTCCTTACCAGGAATTTCAGTGCTCCAAAGTTTTTGCTTGTTTTACCACGAAGTCTTTTGGAACGTCATAGGAATCCCATACGTCTATGATGGTCACACGTTTTCTCAGGAAGTTTCATAAAGCACTTGTGTAGGTTTCACTCCAAGGAAGGACTAGACTAGAAAAGGTCGGAGGCAGTCCAAAGAAGCTTGTGTCACAAGAAAGGAGAAAGAAGAGCACATAGGCTGTGCCAATGGGACGAGACTGGTACTCGCTCACCCCAGGAGACCAGGACTCTAGAAATTTGTCCCATGAATGTAAGGGAGTAACGTTTGTACAGCTTTTGTTTTCCCAGGTGTGTTTGTTTTCGAAGGCAAGTGCATCCAAAGGATTGCACAAGGTTTACCAGCGGGCCTGATATCACTGGAATGTTAAGTAGCAAAAGAAGCGTTCCACACCTGTGTCACAGGAAGTAATTAGTTTCAGGCTCTTTTGAGGCGGGGTGTTGAACATTCACGTCCCACAGGAGTGTACTGAGCACACATGTATAGGAGTGTCAGTTTGTAAAGATTTCCCTCGCAGGAAACACAAGTTTGCATGTTGCCCATGGAGGCTCAAGACCCCTGAATGCTCAGAGGAAAAAGTGAGAGTGTAGCCAGCTTAGTTTTGACACTTAGTTTTGGCTGTTTTTCAACATTTTCGTCAACGGCGCCTTCTCCATGTGGGCTTGTCTTCTCCTTTCATTGACAGCTGTCAGGATCTGGGCGGCAGTCATTGCCTGGCGCACCTCTGTTGATAAAGATTATGTGTATTGTCGAACTTCATCATGTGCTGGATCACTGATGGGTGTCAAAGTATCACCCCAGGCTTCTTCCAGACGTTTCAATTGAATTTGAAATGTTGACATCTATTTCATGAGATCAGATGAACCACGGCGCAAGCTCATAAACTGCTGAAAACGGGACAAAAGACATTCACACTGCCTTTCACAAAGAAGGGTCGCAGCGTCCTCTTGAAGTACAGCACGCCTTCTTCCTTGTTCTTCAAGGCATCCCTATCCAGGATCTTCAGGAAAATGGCGGCGTCTCGTCTGTTGCGCAATGCTGGCCCTCCCTTCTCATCGTCCAGTTCAGTTATGTCGCACCAGTCATCAATCGCATCTTCATGTGCAAACCATGATGTTTTTCCACCAAACCAAGGCGGTATGTTCGTCGTCACCTGTGGAAATTGACTCATCCGAGTTACGTCGTATGTCGACATGGCTTGCGTGGTATATGCTTCATCGTAGAGGTCTTCATCACGCACATCTGTGTAAAAATCATCTGCCAAGGCTTCTACGGCGGGAACCCTCTCTTTCAAGTACTCAGGGTACCGCCGAGTGGTCAGCGCCTTCCGGGGATACACTGAGTACCTGAGAGTGGTTTGAGCCTCCCTGGAGAGAGCTCCGCTACCACGTTGAGATTGGCCCGAGCGTGAACTACCTCACTACAATGTACAGTAGACAGGCGAGCGGGCGACTCTGTCTTTTTCCACTCGCTACGCGCACTCGAGTATTATCTCCCTAGAACCTTGAGAGCGGCAACAGCAACATGCAATGCAATTGTGTTACATGAGCTGTACATGGACTGATAGCAAAGCAACAGGACTGAAGTTATTTCATCCCCCCCTCCCCTACCCACCCCCACTCCCCCAAGGGAAGGACAGCCACCTATTAAGGCGAATCCTAGCTCACCTCTACAAGTACCACATCTTTGCAGAAGTGCAAGTCCCCGTTTTGCGTGTTGGGGTCCAGGGTCCAGCAGGTGACCAAAACTCGTTATGGTGTGTTCGCACAGCATATGCGAAGCGTCCGCAGGCGTTTGCGAGGCATCCGCAAGCGGCTAGAAGTGTTAGAAAGTGGAACGTTACAGGGCCCCGTTTTTACAATGTTTTACAGTGTTTTAAGTGCATTTCTTGGGATGAAGATCTCTGGCCATGTCGGTCACGAGTTACCTCCATTCCCTTGAGATCATAAGAGTGGGGCGGACTTTCCTTGGCATGTTGCATACACAGACTGAGGAGGATTCTTCTGCCAGGAGAGGGGTGGGAAGGGACTCTTTTCAAGTCCCTCCAAAGAACAACAGGGAGTACACTCCTGGGCTCCTTCCTCAAGAGGAAGAGTGGAAAGACACTCCAATATTCGTTCGAAAGAAAAAGTTGGGGAGGACTCGGAGTGGAGAGAATACTCCTCCACGTTTTCCACGCAACGATTAGACAGGACGCTCTCCCATGCTTTGCGGAGAAAAAGTGGGGAGGACCATCCTTGGCCCTTCAAAGAATGCAGACTCCTCTCACCTCTTTATGAGACAGTTGGGGGCACTATCCTGGCTTCCCCCCACAACAATTTGGGAGCCTCTCAGCCTCCATTTCCTCCAGAGCAAAGATGGGGAGGGGTTTTTGGCTCTCCAACAATGGGGAAGGTTTCCTGGAGAGACAATGTGCTCCTTCCCCATATCACGCAGTGGGTGGACTGTTTGCGCATTGTCCTCCACTTTTCCCAGACAAGATTAGACGGGATTTTCTTCCGTTGTGGGAGGATCGTCTGTGGTTCCTTCCAAGTATGCAAGTTCTTCCCACCTGTTTGTAGAACCAATTGAAAAGGCATTATCCTTTGCTTCCTTTCACAACAAGAGAGGCATTGTCCTGGTTTCCTTCCACAACAAGAGTGGGGAGGACTCTCCTCCATTCCGTCCATTGTAAAAGTGAGGAGGGGTCCTTGGCTCTTTCCAACAGCGTGGAAGACTTTCTTCCTTTCTTTCCGAAGAGATCATGCGCTCCTGCCCCAGAAAAAGCGGCTGCCACGTAAAGCTCCTTCCATAGACAAAGTGGGCAGGACTCTTCGTGCTTGACTCCTTCTAAGCGATGAATGGGGAGCCTTCTCTTGGCAGTTGGCAGCTCCTGAAGTCATTCCAGAGAGATGTTCCTCCCACAGAGACATTGGGAAGCTCTCTTCCATTCCTTATTCCAAAGAAAGACTGGGCCTTAGGTGTGCGAGAGGATGGCGAGGAGACCTATTCCACCTCTTCCTGTCTTCCATCAATTTAAACTATTGTAGAGGGCGTCCATGACATATCCTCACAGAGTCTGTGAAGTTCCTGGAGACCACCTTTTCAACTCGAACTGCTCCCTGGCTACATAAAACTTGCATGTCATGCAGACATACATTCTCCTGCGCCCAGTACATTCATCTCAGAAGATGGCAGGCAAACCCTCTCATTTGATTGCTGGCCAACTAACCTGACCTGCAAAGAGACCTCTGCAGAGTATTCACCCAACTTTTCATGGAGAGCTTGCCCATCTGACTTCTTTCATTTCAGAGGGCTTCATGAGTAGAGGGATGCCTCATGGACCCACTGCTGCCTGTGGAGTTTCCCAATGACTCCCAAAGTCTATGGGTGGCCTGAATTAGATATTGGATCGGGAGGACAAATGGAGATGCGGAAGAGTCTACCGATTTCGTAAGTAAGGATTCGTGCTATTAAATGGACTTCCTCTATTTGTGCATCGGTTGAAAGATGCAGAAACACCAGTTCGAGAGTTTGCACTTTGTGTCTGATAGCATAAACTTTCCGGGTAGTGTAGGTTCGTTAGACCTGCAGCCTCAGCGGACAGGTTGTGGAGCATCAGGAGAAGAAACATTTCTTCGAGAAGATGCAAAAGCAGCAAGAGGTGCCCTGCAAAAACTGCAAGCCTTGCAGGTTTCCTTCCGCAGATAAGACGTTTTGTTGCTCAGGAGCAAGCCAAGGCCAAGTTGCATCACGGTTTCTTGCTTGCTTTGCTTGCTTTGGGTTTAGGGCAGCATACGGAGCACAGCGTCAGATTGTGGAATATCAGCACGCCCTGATGATGCAGCACCAGGCTATGCATGCTTTCTCATCACCCATCACCGCACCCACATTCACCCACCAGGCCATGCTGCAGCAAATCCAGGAGAAGCCTCGCGAGGCATAGCAGCGTAGCCAGCAACCCTGTCATCTGGTCATTTGTATGTCTCATGCCCAGGAGTTAGTGACCATCGTCAAGGATGGCCAACGGAACGGTGGTCAACCTTTCAAGCCAGAGACCAACGATTTTGTAAGATTTGAAGACGAGACATCGACATCATGCCAGGCAGAGATGGTGGAGCTTTTGCGACGCCGGCTGGTGGAGATCCCAGGCTTCAGATGAGGGAGCGCCTAAAATTCAAAGTCTAAGGTCAGGGTGCCGCGACTACGACCCCAACCACCACGGCAAAGAGGCGCTGGCACACTTTGTCTCTGCACCTTGGATGAAGTTGGCATATTAGCGGATTGCGGCGTGCCAAGCTGTTTCAAGGTTGCATCCACGGAGTATGGCCCAGAACTCGGAGCATGGCGGAGCCCTGCAGAGCAATGCAGCTGCAAACTTCCACTGATGAGTCCTTTGTTAGGCCATGAGCAGTGGTTCAAGTCTCGGTTCCCGAAGCTCCCGGCTTTGCCCGAGAAGCCCAGGGGCATGCCAGAGCCAGGAGCCGCAAGTAGTGACGCGCCGCATCTTGCTGCGCATTTGCAAATCTGCCTTGAAAGGAACTCCAGGTCTGATGCCGCAGTCCCAGCATGTCCTTCGCACGACAGAATGGGGATCGAGTTAAACATGTTGCCTAAGGGGACCTCCGGGAGGGCCCCCACTGCCAGGCTGGTTTTGAGCTTCAATCTGCAGCCTTTGCAGATCTTTGTGCTTTGTGCTGAGGCGGTCCCCGGCCACCTCCAGGACCGCCAGGAGGGCCTCCTTTAGGACCCCCTTTAGGCGGACCTGTGGGACCCCCTTTAGGTGGACCTCCACCAGGGCTTGGGGTTGGGGGCCCTTTGCCCTTTCCCCCTCACAGCATGCCCGGCATGCCACCGGGGCCTGGTCCGCAACCGCACGGTATGCCGCCCGTGCACGGTATGCCACCCGCGTGCGGTGCTCAGCACAGTGCAGCGAGTGGCGATTCGTGGCGGAGTGGCGATCAGCATTTACTCAGAATGAGCTCTCAGCTCTGGCACTCTGGCACTGAGGCCTGGAATGCCTCCATTCCCGGGTGCTTTGCCACTCTTGCCTGGGTGCATCAGCCTTGATTAGCTTCGCTTGGCTCAGCGGACGTCCAGAAGTCCAGACTACGATCTTGCCAGGATGCCGCCATTTCCTGCGATGCCCCCGCACCCCCCACACCCCCCTCCCGCAGGCCAGACCGTGTAGAAAGCTCTCACCGTGTTTCATTGTGCTCTCACCGTGCTCCTTTGGACAGGCAACGAGATTCCTGCGGGCGATGGTGGCGGAGGCCGCCAGGAGCTCAAAGCGAAAGCGACTGCAACATGGATGATATGGATGGCAGGATAGCAGATATGGTAGGAGCAGAAACCTGCACCTGAACCTGAGTCCAATCTATATCCACGCCATCTCTTTTTTGCCAGGTCCACGTCGTCTAGAAGGCCTTGGGGAGTCGAACAGCACCAGAGCAGGATGTTCTGAAAGCTGCGATTCCTCCAGTAGCAGCAGTAGCACGTGTGCGCTCTCTCGTTTTGCTGAAAGACGGTCACAGTGAGGCTGCAAGGCTTGCAAGGATTGCAAGGCTTGCCAGAGTTGCATTCTAGCAAACTGGTGCGCATGTTTGCTTCGGAGGGTCTTGGAAATCCCCACTTGTGAGGGTGTCTGCGGTTTTTCAGACGGCGTGGGCTTTCGTGGCTAATGAGTCTGACGGTTCCCGGATACAGGAGACCGAGGGCAGAGAAGAGAGGAGAGCGGTTCACGCCAGGTGCTGCCATCGGCGCCAAGACTCTGGCCAAGGCAGCGCCGCAGCCACCGCAGGGCCCTCGGCTTTCTCGAGACCAGACTCCTGCCAAGCACGTGGTCGCCAGGTCCTCCGACTCCGGCTCTGAATCGGAGGACTTTGCCCGTTGCCCCATGTCACCTTGTCCTCCATGTGGCTTGGGTCAGGGCCCGGAGGCATTAGTAGCAACAACGCAGATAAAACAAAGCATGATAGGGATGACCTTCTTGACAGGGCGAGATAGTTAAACGTGACAATCCTCTTCAAAGACAGATAGGAAGTAAGTGAAACTCACGGCAGGAAAGAGAGAAAGGAGCAACAAAGCAACGACACAAGAGCAGAAACCTTGGTCATTACTTTGTTTTCCATTGTTGTTGTTATCACTGCCGGTACTCTGGTACTACTATTTTGGACATGAGTATCATGTTGTACTTGTAGAATTCAAGTTTTTCTGAGTTATACGTATGTTTACTATTGCCGTCTGTATGATTATTACGATGATTGTTATCCACAATCACGTCAATTATTATTCTTACCGTAACTTTCAAGCCTTTCGATATTGACATTCTTATCATTTTCTATCCCTTCCTATCTGTAATGTCTTCCGGCAGTTCGCCACAATGAGGCTCTAACAGCGACGGCGGTCCGTCCTTTCGCAACAACGACTCCGGAAGGGACCGCGGTCCTCCATTTTGCTATAATGACGCGCCAAGAGCGACGACAGTTTTGCACTTTTGGCGCCAACGAGGCTCCAGAAGTGACCACGGTTTCTGCATTTTGCGACGACGATGTTGGAGAAGACGACAGTTCTGCGTTTCTCGAAAACGAGGCATTTTGTTCAACAGCAAGGACAGATCTGCACTTTGCAGCTGCACGAACTCCAAATGCTGTAGTTGGCAGAATTCTTTTTTATCCGTTTTCTGATCGTTGTTTACCTGTTTTGATCTGTGGGCTTGGGCTATGAGCAAGGCATGGTTCCAATATGATTTGTGGCCTAACTGGCGCATCTTACCCTGAATCTCCCAGAAGTGCTGAAGCCAAGCCAAAGTCCCTCGATCCAGCAACTGCTTCGTTTGGAAGCCGGGAGCCTAAGCTCTGCTTCTCTTAGCTCTCCCGCAGCGTAGTGGCGTAACCCAAAAGCCCGAAGGAAGCCGCGCAGAGCTTCAAAGTGCAGCAAGCTTCGTGCCCTTCGTCGTCTTGTCCTTTGCAGAGCGGAGAAAGCAAAAACTGGTCACCTTCTGGTCGTAAAAAAATCCCTTTTTTCTTTCCTTTTCTCATAGCGCCCGACTACGCCTCTGCTTTTGCCCTAAGAGCACGTCTTGCTGTTTCTGACGCAGCTGTTTTCGGCGTCCTTGCTCTGGGAGCCCACGAAAATCTCCTTGAACCTGTACAACAGCTGGGGGTGAGGTTGGTGCCAGCTCCCACAAGTGTCTGAGTTTTTCCCCGACTTCTGCAAGTGGATTTGCCGCGTGTGCGGCAATGGAGTGGCAACGGCGTGGGAAGACTGAAGACACTGAAGCCGCTGCGCCGGCCTCACCAGAGCGGCCTCTGTTCCTGGGCAGGTTGCTTTCTGCTGATTCCTGCTAGTCCCTTAACAATTCCGGGAGACCAACCAACAACCCCCGGGGTTGGTTGATGGGTTCAGGCACATTCTTGCAAGGTCCACAACAGCAAGGACTGTGTAACTGTGTAACCTATGGGCTTCCCACTGCCCTCTTGCAACGCCCAAGCAGACGTGTCGGCTCTGAAGCCCGCCCTTTCCCAGCAGCTGCCTTCACAGCAGATAACATTTCCAAAGGTGACCTTTGGGACGCAAGCCTCAGAACAACAGATTTTCTCGGACTAGTCATGGGTATGAAGGCTTCGTCATTCAAGTGCCCCACTATGTATGGCCGTGTGCATTGTTGCATGCGGTTTCTTCGTGAAACATGCTATGTGAGATATGTGAGCGGTGAGCAGTGGCCTCAGGGACCCAACCCAGAAGCTACGACAACCTCTCAAAAAAAAACACTCAGCATCTGCCGCCCTTTGTCGATGTTGTTTTGGGGAGCTCAGTCGAAGGACGAAGATATTGGTGCAATCAACGCCGACGACATCTGAGGTGCCAAGGTTGCTTGGAAAAAGATTATCGGAAAGAAGTGGCACGAGGAATGAGAGGAAGGAGGGTGGTTAATTTCGAGTGCGAGCTGCTGGGTGGCTCTGCAGGCTGAGCTGCGGCGCGAATTGAACTCTTTTGCCATTTTGAGGCCACAGGCTACAGTTGGTTTGCTCAGCCAACACTACCAGGGATGCTTCAAGGTGGCACCCGACATCACCCGACACATCTCACGCAGATGCCAAAATGCCCTTGACATTCTCGCAGACTGAACTTCAAGCGCTAAAGCTCAAACCACCCCACACCAGTGCCATTACCACCCCACGCCACTGCCAAAGCATTTCAAAGATTTCCAAAGCAGTTTGGAGACCTCACGATGCGCCATGCCTCCGAAGGGCAAAGCGGCCGCCAAGGCGCCGGTGCTGGGAACTTTCTTCGCTTAAAAAAGAATCTAGCTGAAAGAGACGGATGTCTATTTTTTTTGCAATGTTGCAGTCAGGCCAAAGGCAAGGCAGCTGCCGCGCCTCCCGATGTGTCTGGGAATGCAACAGTTGGGTGAACCACACCTCTGCGTTGTGACATGGATGGAACACCATGCGTAGCAGCATGCGTAGCTGGTTCGTGACTGGTTGCAGGTTCCTCTGTTGGACGTGCCCGGTCCCCCACCAGCTCCAGCCACTTGGATAAAGAATCACAGAGCCCCACAACATTCTGACCCTTGTGGTCGGATGTCGGCAGGTCTGCCTGCCGTTGCCAGAATCCATGCGCCTTGGCTTGTGAAATGGAAAGGAAAAGGTTTGAGGTTGGCTTCTTTTTTGGTGAACCTTCACTGAAGTTCAGGGCCCCACGCTGCGCTGCGGAGCGCTGCCTGCTTTTTGCATGGGCAGATCCCAAGAACGCCTACAAGGCACAACACAGTAAAGGAAGCCTTGAGACGCGTCATAAGAGTCATGAGACGACCACCGAAAGGTCCAAGTGCGGCCCTGGATCCCCGGCGATGGCACAGACAAGGCCGCGGCGGCCCCATTTTTGAATCAAAGGAACGAAAAACCTCCTCCTTGGCATCATTCTGACACGTGCCAGGCATCCAGCGCCGATGACTGGCGTGACGCCAAAGAGCTGGAGCGTGTGCGGATGCCCGGTCGTGGATACCACGAGGCCGGCTGCCGTCTTCAATCCACGGGAATTGGAACTGTTGAGCTCTTCGTGGTTCTTGGAACTTTCCCAGGGCCGCCTTTTCGCCTTCGAGCAAATTCGCATCCAGTACAGGACTGCCTCTTTCACAGGGCCTTCCCAAGTTGCCCAAGCTTTGCGCGCGGCAGGATGGTGCTCTTGGCGGGGCCCAAGCCCATTGATGGCCTCTACGTCACCGGCTGACGCGCAGAAAGGGTAAATTTTAGCTGAGCTTTGCAGAACTGTGGACCTCAGAGGTCGCCAACTGGCAATCCGTGGCCTCTGAGCCCGTGGCCACGTTCATGGACCCGCCTGTCGGCCTCAGGGCAGAGCTGCGGTGCCACTCCGACGTGGTGCAGGCGGTTGGCGCTGCGGGGAAAACCGGCTTTGACCAGTTTACACGAGGCTTCCGTGTCCCTGACCTGGCGGCTCTCCAACATGGAGTGGCTGGGAGCTTTCGGATTTGGAGCAAGTGTCGGTTTGGCCCCCCTCCTTTCTCTAGGCTTCGTGCCGCTGGCGCCGCTGGTGCCTGCAATCTCAGAGAAGAGAGGAGATTCGAAAGAAAGAAGTGAAAGCGGGCTAAGGCTGGCGACCTGGATGCAGCCTTCTCGCTGCTAGCTCAGCATTAGCTCAGCATGAGCTCAGCTGAGCCAGCTGAGACTGAGAGGCGACACCGTCGGTGATACCCTAGGTAAAGCTGAAGATGCGTTTGGAGTCTGAGATGTCTGAGGTCCTGGCCGGGTCTAATGCCTATCAAGGCAAAGCCCTAAGTCCTGGCAGACGGTCTTTCCGGGTCTTTTTCTATTTCGCAGGTTCAGGTGCGCTGGCGTGTGGTGCAGAGCCTCCCGAGCGTTGACGAGGCAAGGGCGAGAGGGAAGAAAGGGAAAGGGACGGGAAGGGGAAAAGCAAAGCAGAGAGGCCCTTCCACACAGCTTGGCCTTGGGAAACTACTCCGTCTCCCCGGCGCAGGGCCAAGCTAAAGCATGCTAAAGCCCACGTAATCCCATGTTTCGCCACGTTTCGTC